ATGTTTGATAAACATAAAGAATTATTAAAACTGTGATAAAAGTAAGATATAAGAAAACTTTGTATGATAACCTAGGGCTGAGGGAGAGTACCAGAGGAAAGACACACTTGGAAGGGAAGCCCCTCCCCACGCTGGGGTTCAGATCCTGATGGCGAAAATAAAATTGCAGGTCACTGGAAAACAGAGAAGTTCGCTGGTTTGCCTGGGCCAGAGCTGGTCCCCAGTTGCTGGGCAAGCAAGAAACAATGCTCTGGGGTTCAGAGGTAGGCGGACACAGGTGAGCTGCAGCTGGTGGCCAAGCGTGTGGGCATGCGGTGGAATGGGGCTGCTGGTGCAGCCTGGAGCACGTGGTGTCTGTATGCTGAGCCACAAGCAGTAATTGGGTGCACAGGTGTGCAGAGGGGGGTGGTCCGTGGAGGCAGGGTAGCCAGGGGACGGGCATCTTGGCAGCCGAGGAAGTAGAGCCTGGTGTGGGCAGGAAGCTAGGAGTGTGGTGTCTCTCCAGGGAGCCATGGGAAGGTGATCACCATTCCAGGCGAACCTTTGTGAGGTTGCTGCTGCATAACTGAGAGATGTCCTCATACCCTGGCTGCTGGCCGGCTCTGCCCCGACTGGGAGCAGTCGGAGAGCTCTTTCTTGCAGCAGTGTCCCTCCAGGCGCCCTCTACTGAGAAAGCTTAAGATCACACTCACGGTGAAGGAGAAAGGCGTAAAGAAATGCTGTTTTGTTATCACAGTATTGGAGAGTGAATTTGGAGCTGAGTGGCAATGGTTTGTGTGAACATCTATTTTCCCGTCAGATTTTCGTGCTACAGTTTTAGTAACAAAATGTCAAAAAATGTGTATATGTTATCAAAAATTCAAATAATGCAAAAGTCTAAAAATCAGCAGTCCTCCATCATCCCTCCATTCACCACCCTCCACACAGGTAACCACTGTCTCTAGCTCAGTGCAGCTTCATGTCTCTGAGCGTTTTTTTCTGTCTTTACACACATACATGTAGTTATACGTAAATATGCTTGTCAAAAAGATGTGTTTAGTTTTTGTATAAAATAAATGGGTTCATATAGTTCCTATTGAGCTGCAGCTTTTTTTTTTTTTTTTTTACTTAACAGGACATCTAGAGATCATTTCATGTCAGTACACAGACTCACTTTATCAGTGGCCACATAATATTCCCCAGAACAGGCATTCTATAGTTTATTTAACCAGCCCCATATTGAAGGAGATTTTTCCAGGATTTGGGAGAGAACTATTTTAAATAGTACTGCAGGGGCGCCTGGGTGGCTCAGTTGGTTAAGCGACTGCCTTCGGCTCAGGTCATGGTCCCAGGGTCCTGGGATCGAGCCCCGCATTGGGCTCCCTGCTCGGCAGGAAGCCTGCTTCTCCCTCTCCCACTTCCCCTGCTTGTGTTCCCTCTCTCTCTCTCTGTCAATTAAATAAATAAAATCTTTAAAAAAAAAAAATAGTACTGCAATGAATTCATACCTTTGTGTACCCGTGCACAAAGTTTTAGAAGTTAGACTCTTAGAAGGAAGTTGCTAAGTCAGAGGGTCTGCACATTTAAAAGTTGGATAGATAGCACTTCATTTTCTTCCATAAGGGCTGAACCAATTTATACACCCACCTAATATGTGTGAAAGTGTTCATTTTTCCACATCTTCAACAATATTGGATGCTCTTATCCCCTTATTTTTTTGTCAGATAGCCAAAACATAAAAAATAATTTTAAATTCATATATACATAGTCATTAGATATGTCTTCATATTCTTTGACTATTTTTCCATTGTGTTGTTTCCATTGGTGTAAAAGGGAGCTCTTTACACGGTCTCCGTATTAACCCTTTGTTAGAAATCTTACAAATATCTTCTCATGTAGGTCACTTGATTCTTACGTATTCATTTTTACATTTTTATTTTTTAAAAGATTTTATTTATTTATCTGTCAGAGAGAGAGCACGCACGCACAAGCGGGGGGCGCGGCAGGCAGAGGAAGAAGCAGGCTCCCTGCCTGCAGGGAACCCGATGGGGGACTCGATCCCAGGACCCTGAGATCATGACCTGAGCCGAAGGCAGACTCTTCACCTTCGCCAACTGAGCCACCCGGGCACTCCTGTTTAGTTTCTAAATATTTTCACATAAGATAATATGATTATAGCCCTTGGCCATTTTTCTTTTGGTTTTATTTTCATTTTTAAAAATTACTTAGAGCCGGGGCACCTGGGTGTCTCAGTCCATTGAGCATCTGCCTTCAGCTCAAGTCATGATGCCAGGGTCCTGGGATCAAGCCCTGAGGTGGGCTCCCTGTTCAGCGGGGAGTCTGCTTCTCCTTCTCCCTCTGCCCCTCCTCCCTGCTTGTGTGCTCTCTCTCTCAAATGAATAAATAAAATCTTCTTTAAAAAATTTAAAAAAGTGGGACGCCTGGGTGGCTCAGTCAGTTAAGCGTCTGCCTTCGGCTCAGGTCATGATCCCAGGGTCCTGGGTTCGAGTCCCGCGTCGGGCTCCCTGCACAGCAGGAGGCCTGCTTCTCCCTCTGCCTGCTACTCCCCCTGCTTGTGCTCTCTCTCACTCTCTCTCTCTCTGGCAAATAAATAAATAAATCTTAAAAAAAAAAAAGAACTGCTTAAAAAAAAATTTAAAAAAGTACTTAGAGCCTCTTGTATTTTTAAGAAAAGTACCTGTTTTTCACATGTGTCACATTTTTTCCCTTTTCATTATTTGTTTTCCTAGTTTGTTTTCCATGGATTTTTTTTAATGTATAAAAGTTTTTTTAATGTTAATCCTTTTAATAAATAACCAGTAATGTGATTTAAAAACTCAAAGTCTCATTCTGTCCCTGTCCTTATTCAACTGATTCCACCCCCTCACCTACCAGTCACCAGTTACTAGATTCTTAGCAATCTTTCCAGAATTTCTTGTTTTTCAAATAGAAGAAAATACAAAACATACATATTGTTTTTACTCCTTTTAAATAGAAGTATACAGAAGCCCTTTTAATTTAGACTCCTTCTTTTTCTGTGACTTCTGGGTTATATATCATGCTTAGAAATTGTTTCTGTTTTGAGAGTGTAAAAATAGCCAAGATTTGTTCTGATATGGCTTGATTTTTTTTTTAAGATTTTATTTATTTGACAGAGAGAGACAGCGAGAGAGGGAACACAAGCAGGGGGAGTGGGAGAGGGAGAAGGAGGCTTCCCGGGGAGCAGGGAGCCCAATGTGGGGCTCGATCCCAGGACCCTGGGACCATGACCTGAGCCGAAGGCAGACGCTTAACGACTGAGCCACCCAGGCGCCCCTGGGAGTGGTTTTTATTGGAGTTCTTATGCATTCATAGATCAGTTTGGAATGTTTCTCCAGGTTTTCTATATCTTTGAGTAAACTTTGATTTCATTTTTTTTTAACTTTTTTTTTTTAAGATTTTATTTTTGAGAGAGAGAGAACGAGCACAAGCGCAAGCAGGGGGAGGGATAGAGGGAGAAGCGACTCCCAGCTGAGCCGGGAGCCCGATGAGGGACTCAATCCCAGGACCATGAGATCATGACCTGAGCCACCTAGATGTCCCTCTTTCAAGTTTTTATTTAAAATCCAGTTCATTATCATATAGTGTAATGTTAGTTTCAGGTGTAGAATTTAGCGATTCGTCACTACAGAAGACACCTGGTGCCCATCTCAGCAGTGCCCTCCTTAATTCCCATCACCTATTTAACCAACCCCCCCACCCCAGCCCCACCCCCCGCCCACTCCCCTCCCATCACCCTCAGTTTGTTCTCTATAGGTAAGAATCTGTTTCCTGGTTCACCTCTCTTTCCCCCCACCCCATGATTGTATTTTGTAAAAACTTTTGTTAGGTTTATTCTTGCATATCATCATTTTATTGCTATCATGATTAGGGTCTTTTATAGTCGTATTCTAATTGATTCTTGCTATGATATATAAAATTTATCAGTATAGAAAATATGTAGGTTTTTGTTGATCGCTCTTCTGAGCTCTTTTGTTCATTATTCCATAGCCTGCTTTGGATTTTCTAAGTAGACAAACACTTTATTTGTGAATAGCAGCAAACTCACTCCTTTTCCGAAATATAAACCTCTTTTTATTTTTTTTCTTAAATTATTTTGCTAGAACCCCAAGAAGAATGTCAAATAGCAGATAATGGTAGGCATCTTTCTGATTCTTATCAGAAATGATACTGGAGGAAACACTCCCCTTAAACGCTGCCTTCTTTTGGCTTCCTGGGATAGGACCCACTCCTTTTCCATCCCCTTGTCCCCACCGCCAGCCTTCAAATGATGGCATGCCTTAGGCCTGCTACTCTGTCTTCATGCCACACACACTCTTGGCGACCCACGCCCATCTCAGATTGCAGTCATCTCGTGCCAGCTTGTGATTTCTGTTACTCCCATAAGCTGAGCATTCAGAGATTGACATCTCTAGCCCAGGACTCTGTCCCCCCAGCTCTGGAGTCACCAAAGAGCTCCTCTGGGGTTTCTTTCAAGTACTTGCTAACTAACTCAGTGCCTCTAAAACGGAGATGATTATCGACAAGCGTTGAGGGGGACCCCTGGCTGGACAACCTGCTTTGGTGTTAAAAACCAGAAATAGAAGAAAGACTGCCTGCCCTGAGAGACTCTCCTTAGAGGGTCTGATTTCCTGCTAATGCAGGCCCAAGCCAGCCACCCCACCTTAGTCCTACCTTAGTTTTTGCCCTGGACATTGACCACGTAGCCTGTCTCTTGTGCCGGGAGCTCCTGCCATCCTTGGACACTTGCCCAACGAACCACGTCCTGCCCTGCCAACACCCTCTGCTCCGTTACCTGCTGTCCCTAAGCATGCATGTGGTCAGTTGCCCGAGCTGTTTCTAGTCATCGCCCTCTCCCACCTGTGGGGGGCCTCAACTGCCCTGTGAAGGACAAATGGAAGCTTTAGGGGTTCCTCTGGGCTCACTCCATCTGGACACAGGGTCATGAGGAGGCTAATTTCTGCTTGCCTCTGTGTGGGCAGGAAGTATGAGCTGTACAGCATGGACTGGGACCTGAAGGAGGAACTCAGGGACTGCCTGGTAGCCGCTGCGCCCTATGGGGGCCCCATTGGTATGTCACCCCTCTGCCACTGCATGTTCTGGGACAATGGGGTGAACTCGAGGTGCATGATGCCTGGGGTCCTTGCTCTCAGGTGGCTCTTGCTAACGTGGCCACCCCTCTTCTCCCCCATTTCTCACCCCCTGCTGAGATGCTTTAAATTTTGGTTCTCCTGAAGCTTGCTTCATATGGGGTGGGCCTGGGGAGCTGGACAGAAAATCTCTTCTTCAACTACAGCACTGTTGAGGAACCCGTGGCGGAAGGAGAAGGCGGCCAGCGTACGGCCAGTGCTTGAGATCTACTCTGCCTCCGGCCTGCCTCTGGCCAGTCTGCTGGTGAGCACCCCTGATCCCCACTGGAGTTAGGTCTGTGTCTGTGTCCCAAGGATAGCCTCAGGAACCTCCGTCTCCTCTGCAGTGGAAGAGTGGGCCCGTGGTGTCCCTAGGCTGGTCAGCTGAGGAGGAGCTGCTCTGCGTGCAGGAAGATGGTGTAGTGCTGGTCTACGGGCTTCATGGCGACTTCCGGAGACACTTCAGCATGGGCAATGTAGGGGCTGCAGGGGGCTGGGGAAAGGGATGGAGTCTGGGACTCTGGCTCCCTCAACCCATGGCCCTTCTCCCCAGGAGGTGCTCCAGAACCGGGTTCTAGACGCCCGGATCTTCCATACTGAGTTTGGTTCGGGGGTGGCCATCCTCACTGGGGCCCACCGCTTTACGCTCAGTGCCAATGTGGGTGATCTTAAACTTCGCCGGATGCCGGAGGTGCCGGGTGAGCCCTGATATTCCTGAGACAGTCATTCAGCACCCACAGACATGCCTCCAGACCGGGGGCGGGGGCGGGGGGCAAGAGAGGCAGAAACTGTGGGCTCTGGTCATCCTGAAGTTGTCCCCTTCCCCGGCTGCAGGTCTGCAGAGCGCACCCTCATGCTGGACCACACTGTGCCAGGACCGAGCTGCACACATTCTTCTGGCCGTGGGGCCTGATCTTTACCTCCTCGACCATGCAGCCTGCTCGGCAGTGGTGAGGGCCCTGAGTGGGAGTGAAATGGAAGGAAGGGAGTGGAGGAGGCAGTGGGGGAAGCTCCGAGGAAACATCTGGTGTCTTCCCTGGCCTGTCCTAGACGCCCCCTGGCCTGGCCCCTGGAGTGAGCAGCTTCCTGCAGATGGCAGTCTCCTTCACCTACCGACACCTGGCACTCTTCACAGACACAGGCTACATCTGGATGGGGACGGCATCACTCAAGGTGTGATCCTGGGACAATGTGGGGGCACCCTGCCTTATCCAGGAAAGATCTGTTAGCGGTAGGGGAAAGGGCTTTTTAACCAGACTGGTGACTACTGGGACAGGGCCATGATGTTCCCTGCACCCTTTCAGGAGAAGCTGTGTGAGTTCAACTGCAACATCCGGGCCCCCCCCAAGCAGATGGTCTGGTGAGGATGGGGGTGTTGTGTTGGGGGCGGGCGCAGCCTTGTTTCCTGGGACACCTTGATTCATCTTGTCTACTGGCCAAGCCAGGTGGAGCTTGCATCTTATCATCTCTGCCAGTGCATGCTTGAGGGAAACCCCTGCCCCCCTGTGGGCCCCAGATGCCCCTGGGACCTGACAGCACAGGGGGAGAGGGAAGCAGATGTTGGTCAGAGGAATGGGATAAGGGGCAGCACGCATGTGCAGGGCTGTCCCAAGGCAAAGCAATGTAAGCAGTGATGTGGGAAGGTGGGAGAAGTGTCTGTGGGCCCAGGGTCCTGTATGTGTCCCAGATGTATGTGTGATGCTGCCCGCAGGTGCAGCCGTCCTCGGAGCAAAGAGAGGGCTGTCGTGGTGGCCTGGGAGAGGCGGCTAATGGTGGTGGGTGATGCACCTGAGAGCATCCAGTATCCTTGGAGGGCTGCCTGCAGGGGGGTGGGAGGGGAAAGGAGGAGAGGGAGGGTCACCTCCCCCACCGCATTTCCGTGTGCTCTTGGGAACCTTGACCAAGCTCAGGTTTGTGCTGGATGAAGATTCCTACCTGGTGCCTGAGCTGGATGGGGTCCGCATCTTCTCTTGTAGCACCCACGAGTTCCTGCATGAGGTTCCAGGTGAGGCCCTCACAGGGTACCATGGGACCCAGGGCAGGATCAGGGCATTGAGGCAGTGCTGAGGATTCCCTGCCCTCTCAATACTCACCAACACTCTTTCCTAGTGGCCAGCGAGGAGATCTTCAAAATTGCCTCGATGGCCCCTGGAGCACTGTTGTTGGAAGCCCAGAAAGAGTATGAGGTAAAGCCCTAGGCTTCTCTCCCTGGATCCCAGGATGTTCTTCTCCTTCCCTTTCCTAATTGGCTCAGCCCCATGCCCCTGGCTGGGCAAGGTAGACTCAGCCAGGTGCCACTTGTTGAGAGGAGTCCAGGCAGGACATTGGGCTGGGAGAGCCAGCTCAGGTAGACTGAAGTGACATGGTGTCCTCCATGTGGTGATGGGGAGGTGCAGGGAACCCCTACTATCCCCAGCCCAGGCACCAATCAGGGCTACCATCAAGGCCCCTTGCCAGCAATTGTGGGCGGATATGGCGGGGGATGTATGGGTACCTCGGGTGGACTGTGGGCTAAGGGACTTTGGGCTTTGGCCTCTGCAGCCCCTCCATACCAGCCCATTTGAACCACAGCCCAGAGGGGTGGGGGGACCAGACATGGGGGAGTTCTCTGTCATATTACCCCATCCCCGGCACCCTTCCCCCACCCCCTAGAAAGAGAGCCAGAAGGCAGATGAGTACCTACGGGAGATCCAGGAGCTGGGGCAGCTGACCCAGGCCGTGCAGCAGTGCATCGAGGCTGCGGGACATGAGCATCGGCCAGACATGCAGAAGAGTCTGCTCAGGGTTGGCCTGGCCAGCGGTGCTGGGGAGTGGGGTGCTGGGCAGGGGGGTGCCCTAGCAGGAGGGGTGGGGCGACCGGTAAGATCTCCTCTGTCACCCTGTGGCTCTTCTCAGGCGGCCTCCTTTGGAAAGTGTTTCCTCGACAGATTTCCACCTGACAGCTTCGTGCGCATGTGTCAGGACCTGCGCGTGCTCAATGCCATTCGGGACTACCACATCGGGATCCCCCTCACTTATAGCCAGTATCCTCAAACGAGCTGCACGGATGTTTCCAGTCAGTGGTGGTGGGGGAAGGGGAAGGGGCTGAAGACGCTGCCTGCAAGTCCTTGGCAAATAGGGCTCATACCCCAGCTGGATCCTTAACCAAGTAAAATGCAGATACAAGCAGCTCACCATCCAGGTGCTGTTGGACAGGTACAGCAAGCCCCAGGGTTGTGGGAGGAGGGCTCTATGTGGGCAGGTGTTATAGCCCCTGGTGGGTTCTTGTGGTCACTGCTCACCCATTTCTTTGAGAGCTGGGAGGCCTGAGTTACAGGCTGGGCCACTCTGCCCTCTCTTTCTATCCCACCTCACCCCCATACGTTTTATCCCTTTGCCTGCCAGGCTGGTGTTGAGGAGGCTTTACCCTCTGGCGATCCAGATCTGTGAGTACCTGCGCCTTCCTGAAGTACAGGGCGTCAGCAGGATCCTGGCCCACTGGGCCTGCTACAAGGTGAGGACGTAGGGTGGGCTTCAAAGTCATTTAGAGGATTCCAGGCCCCCATGGGATGTGGGAAATACGAAGTGTAGAGCTGAAGGGGGATGTCCTGATCCAGGGCCAATGGGGTCAGGGGGGTGAAGGGTGAGATCCAGGTGTGTGTGACAACCCCCCCTCTATCTGCAGGTGCAACAGAAGGATGTGTCCGACGAGGATGTTGCTCGGGCCATTAACCAGAAGCTGGGGGACGCGCCAGGCGTCTCTTACTCTGACATTGCTGCACGGGCCTATGGCTGTGGCCGCACGGAGCTGGCCATCAAGGTGTGGGCGCCCAGCCCTCCCCAGATGCTCTGACACTGGTATTTGAGTTCCCCAGTCCAGCTCCTTCTCTCTGTGCCTTTCTCCCCACCCCACAGCTGCTGGAGTATGAGCCACGCTCTGGGGAGCAAGTACCCCTTCTCCTAAAGATGAAGAGAAGCAAACTGGCACTGAGCAAGGCCATCGAGAGTGGAGACACTGATCTGGGTAAGCAGGGTTTGAGAGAGGGCAAGGCTGGAGCCCCTGGGCTAAGCACGGGGCCGGGCCAGAGTCCCCACACCACCTTATCGTTCCTTAGTGTTCACGGTGTTGCTGCACCTGAAGAATGAGCTAAACCGAGGCGACTTTTTCATGACTCTTCGGAACCAGCCCATGGCCCTGAGTTTGTACCGACAGGTGTGTGCCCTGGGCAGGGGTGGGGCTGGAATCTCCTGAGCCCCTGAGCTGGCCTTGCTGACTGACTGCCTGTCCATGGCCCCAGTTCTGTAAGCATCAGGAGCTAGAGACGTTGAAGGACCTTTACAATCAGGATGACAACCACCAGGAGTTGGGCAGCTTCCACATCCGAGCCAGCTACGCTGCAGAGGAGGTCTGAGGTCCACAGAGTGGGTGGGGCCTGTGGGCTGGGCTGCTGGTCGGGCTCCTTCTCCAGGCATCTGGGCCTCCTATCCGGTACACACCCCATCTGGTCCTCACTGTTGCGGGAGAGTCTGAGAAGATACGAGGCCCGGATGGTGGTCAGTCCTGGGGAGCTCGCGTCCCCTCTAGGGACACTGGGGTGGTGCCCCCAGCGGCTAAGGCTGGCCCTAGCGACCCTGGGTGCAGGGACTGGGGAGAGAAGTGTAGCCCAAGTAGGGAAGGCTGATTTCCTTGGTGCCGTGAGCTCAGGCTTCCCTGCTTGCTCCTGTAGCGCATCGAGGGGAGAGTCGCGGCTCTGCAGACGGCAGCTGACGCCTTCTACAAGGCCAAGAATGAGTTCGCAGCCAAGGTTTGCCTTACTCTTTTCTTTTTTTTTTTTTAAGATTTTATTTATTTATTTGAGAGAGAGAGAATGAGAGATAGAGAGCATGAGAGGGAAGAGGGTCAGAGGGAGAAGCAGACTCCCTGCCGAGCAGGGAGCCCGATGTGGGACTCGATCCCGGGACTCCAGGATCATGACCTGAGCCGAAGGCAGTCGCTTAACCAACTGAGCCACCCAGGCGCCCTGCCTTACTCTTTTCTGAGAACCTCCTCTGCTCCCAGTCTTGCCTCCTTGTCCCTGTTGGCCCCATCCGGCCCCATGTGGCCTCATCTCTGCCCCAGGCCACGGAGGATCAAATGCGGCTCCTGCGGCTGCAGCGGCGCCTGGAAGATGAGCTGGGGGGCCACTTCGTGGACCTGTCTCTGCATGACACGGTCACCACCCTCGTCCTTGGCGGCCACAGCAAGCGCGCGGAGCAGCTGGCACGTGACTTCCGCATTCCGGACAAGAGGTAAGTGAGGCTCAGGTGCGGGTAGGTCCTGGGACTGCCCACCCGCCCCGCAACACCTGCGAGCCCAGCTTCCCTGCAGGCTCTGGTGGCTGAAGCTGACCGCCCTGGCAGATCTGGAAGACTGGGAGGAGCTAGAGAAGTTTTCTAAGAGCAAGAAATCGCCCATTGGCTACCTGGTGAGGCAGGGGCCCTGCGTCCACCCCACGCCCGGGGGGAGTAGTCCTGGGGAGGGGACCAGGCCCAGAGACAGGTAGATGGCCCATTGCTGCATCTGTTCAGCCCTCCCACATAGTTAGCACACTCGTGGGCCAGGTCTGTGGGCAGGCGGGCTCGGGTTAGCCCACAGATGTTGGCCGGAGAAGGAATGAGCTGCTCTCCCCAAGGAGGCCCACCGCGGGCACCGTGTGCCAAAGGGAAAGTCTTGCGGGAGTAGGGGGTGGAGGGGCACCGGGGGGGGCATGTTCGGGAGGCAGTGGACGGGACTGGGGGGGATTGTTTTCTGTGGCAGGTGGTTCAGTGGTGTGGCGGGTAGGTGGGATACGGGCAGCCGTGAGAGAAAACACAGGCCCTGAGAAGGCAAGGGACTCCTATTGCGAGAGGGTAGCCTCGGATGCTGGAGCGGCTCTAAGAGATCTGTGGTATAGGTGGTTCCTGCCCTGAGACTGCTGAGATCACAACTGTTGTATGTGTGTCCGGGCGGGGGTAGGACGAGATTATGCACACTGAAGGGCGAATGAAATACACAGGGACCGTGCGTCCGTGGGGCTTTCGCTCATAAGAGAGAGGACAGGAAGGCGCTGCCTTATCTTCTTCTTCTCCCCACCTTCTCCTAAGCCTTTTGTCGAGATCTGCATGAAGCAACACAACAAATATGAGGCCAAGAAGTATGCCTCCCGCGTAGGTCCTGAGCAGAAGGTCAAGGCCTTGCTTCTCGTTGGGTGCGTTGGCTGAGAGCCCTGTGGGTGCTGGGTGGCTGAGCCAGGGGGCTGATGAGGGGCACGGTGTGTGCCCTTGGGCAGCCTGACACCATCTCCCCTCCTGTTCAAACCACAGGGATGTGGCTCAGGCTGCAGATGTGGCCATTGAGCACCGGAACGAAGCAGAGCTGACTCTTGTGTTGTCCCACTGCACTGGAACCGCAGACGCGGCCACAGCCGACAAGATTCAGCGGGCTAGGGCACAAGCCCAGAAGAAGTGAAGGGCTCACCCTGCACGTCACCCTGCGCTCTAGGCTTGGCAGAAGCATCACTGCTTATCCAGCTTCTTTAGAGCTGAGCTAAGCTGAGGAGCTGGGGTGAGGTGGGAGCCAGGGATCTGATTGTAAATAAAGTTGGGACATTTTAGAGCACTTGTCTCATGCAGTCCAGCCTAAGCGAAAGCATGCTGGAGGCAGAACCATCCAGACAGTTCAGCAAAACTCCGTGTGTTTGATTGTGTTGGGGCTGGAGGGGGAGCTCCTCAGTGATACCTACAAGAGACCTGCCCCTCTCCACAGTTACGGAAGACAGTCCTGTAACTAAGCTCCCAGCCCCTAGGAAGATTACGGGGAGCTGTGCAGAACTCCAGCAGCAGCCCATCAGGAGCCAATCTGAAAAGCATTGTACACGTACACAGAAGAACCATGCTAAACACTTCACCATTGCTATTTCATTTATTCCATAAGACAGCCCTGTGAGATGGGTAACATCACCCCATGTTACAGAAGAGGAGATTGAGGACTGAGGAGGTGTGGTAACAGGGAGTATGTGGCAAAAACTGGGATTTGAAACCCAATGGCGCTTGTGGGGGTCTCAGAGCTTCTCCTCAGCTATTGTGACAGAAGAGGTATGACTGAAATCGGGCCCTCTGAGTGGAGGAGCCTGAGGAAGGCCCCTGTTTGCACTACAGTAAGGGTTGGAGGGCCGATGAGCGTGTGGCCCGTGTGTTGGAGGGTTAGAGAAAGAGCCTTCACGAACCACGCCCACCGAACAGTGGGGAGCAACTCCTACATGGTCTCGGGGCTGACGAGAAAAGGAGGACGGAGCATCTCAATTCTGCCAAGGAAGAACTACAAACGAGCGACCCCTGGCTCTACCTGACCCTGAACAGAGGCTCCATCCCCATCAGCAGCAGTGCTTTCTTGGCCCTGCAGACGCCCATCTCTGGCCTTCAGCATACAGTCCGGTTACGTGAGCTTCATGGCCCGTGCCCCCACCCAACACTGAGGGCATTTCCTTTTCCTCTTTTTGGGCCCTTCGTCTAGAAGGAGGACAAAGGAGGAAACCAAAGCCCAGAGGGAGGGCAGGCCTTCCTGGAGCTTCTGGTTTTCCCCTCTTAATGCCTTTACAGTTGTCTTGCAATGAGTGCCTGAAAAGAGTGAGAGACTCGGGGCCTGGTAAGCTGTTTCTTTTTCTTCTTCTTCCTCCACCTGATTTGTAACTTTGAATTTGGAACTTTGAATATCTTCGAAGGGGATATACATCACATTGTAAAACAGCCATTTATTATGCTCACCTCTTACTACGTGGGTCAAGAATCTGGACAGGATAAAATGGTGGTTTGTGTCTGCTCCACATAATTGGGACATCAGCTAGAAGACTCAAAGGTGGGGGGGATGACTTGATAGCTGGGGGCCGAAATCATCAGAAGGATTGGCAACTCACAAGTCTGGCCGCTGAAGCTGGTTGTTGACCGGAACCTTAGCTGGGGTTGTCGGCCAGGGCACCTACAACCCAGCAGAGCTCACAACATGGCGTTCAGGTTCCAAGGGCAGCATCCCAAGAGAGCTGGGCAGAACTGTACTGCCTTCCCCAACCTAGCTTTGGAAGTCGCACAGGGCCACTCAATACCTGCCACATTCTGTTGGTCAGGGCAGTCCCACCCCATTTCAAGTGGAGATCGACTCCATCTCTTGGTAGGGGAGAGGCGAGGCTCTGGAAGACTGTATAGAACTGGCAATGTGGCCAGTTTTTGGAATCCCAGATAGGCAAAGCCCATCAGCCTTCTAACAGAAATCAGCAGACCTCCAGGGAGAGGAAGAGAGACCCCAATAGTAGGTTCATTGTTTGGGACTCTTTTCCTCCCCAGCCTTGCTTTCACAATTCCTCACTGCCCTGGCAGCGCTTTGATGCCTTTCAAAAATGTTATCTCCAGTTTTTCTAGCTGTTCTCAGTGAAAAAGGGTTGAGACTATAGAACCCAATGTGCCCTCTCTGGAAAGGGGCCCTGAGCACTGCTTTGAGAATGTACACAATAAAAAGTCTGCACCCCCAAGTCACATCCCCATATATACTCCTGCGATGTGCAAACATTAAGCACTGGACATAGGAAGTTTTAGAAATACGTGAGAAAAAATAATGATGACATACAAATAAAGTGATTACAACTTCATAAGAAGTGTGTATGTGGGGTAGAAGCACCAGAGTCCAACAGGAGAGTTGTCTGAAAAAGGCAGTGTACTTTTTTGTAAAGTTAAACCCTGATTTTCCCCCCAACATTTTATCACAAAAACTTTCAGACATAGAGCTAAGTTGAAAGAATTTTATGGTGAACACCGGTATACCCACCACCTAGATTCTGCCATTAGTATTTTACTATATTACTTTATCACACATCTCTCCATCCCTCTATTCATCTTACTTATCCACCTTATTTTTTTTTTAAAGATTTTATTTATTTATTTGAGAGAGAGAGAGAGAGCATGAGAGGGTGGAGGGTCAGAGGGAGAAGCAGACTCCCTGCTGAGCAGGGAGCCCGATGTGGGACTCGATCCCGGGACTCCTGGATCATGACCTGAGCCGAAGGCAGTTGCTTAACCAACTGAGCCACCCAGGCGCCCCCACCTTATTTTTGATGACTTCAAACTAAGTTGCAGTCCTTAATACACTTCCCTCTAAATACTTCAGAATTTCAGTGACTAGAGGCTAGGATAAGGACTTGGGGACCTTTCTTCTAGTTTAGGATATCATCAATAGCAGCCCTGGAGTGAGAGTCAGTCAAAGGCCTTCTCAGGATAAGGGGGCTGCAATCTCTTAGGTACAAAGCTCCAGCTAATGACCCTAGGAAGTAGAACAGTGGCCTGGAAAGATACTTGGCTTTCATTTACTCCAATTTTCTATCTTATTGCCTTGCTTTATTTTCATTACAGCATTTAGGAAATTTTCTTTTCACTTGTTTGTTTATTGTCTGTCTCCCATCCAGAATGTAAATTCCTGAGAGCAGAGACCTTTTCTGTCATTCCCTGCTGTGTCCAGCACATGGTTTGTACTCAATATTTGTTGAGCGAATGATTCATTGTTCCATTTACTACATGGAGAAAGAGGCCCAGAGAGGGGAAGTGATTTACCTATGAAACAAGAGTCCTTTACCCCCATCCTCCAGCTCTTCTTCAGTCCAGTCCTTTTCTCATCAGCCCTGTGACTCCTTGGGGTGCTTGTGGCGTGGCTCACAAATGCCTACCTGTAGGTATATGCTCCAGTTAGCTGGACTTAAAGCAGGACTGGGAGCAGGGCTTCAGCCTCCCACATGGGTGGGCCTGAGTATAGAAAGCCTGCCTCCCCACTGCCTCGGTCCTCCTCTCTTATTCCGTCCTCTTCGAAGACAGCCCTTTGCCCTATGGTGATGGGGCAAAAGTGTGGAAACCCTGGGCATCAGGTGAGGTGGGGAGGCTGGGCAGCTTTCCAGACATGGGCAGATGAGGATGGGACTCTGTTCTCTCCCACTGGAAATGGTCTGCATGGTTACCAAGCTGAACTCTCCTTCCCAGAGTCTCCAGGATGGGATACCCAAGACCTTGCCTCTCCTAGGTCTGAGGTTCTCTCACCCCCACACACACCACAAATGCTCTGACCACATTGCTGCTGTCTCATGAAGAGAAGGAACTGCATTTCCTGTGAATGGGTTACTTGCCAAGCTGTACATGCTTATAATTCTCAGTCCAGAGGCTGGGAGGTTCCAGGAAGAGTAGCAGAGGGAGATTCAGGTCACCCAGCCAATGGCAGAGCTTGAACCCCAGGGCTTTCTGACTCCCACACCCAACCTGCACTGTTTTCCCAAGTGTGTCCACATCAAGTATGGGGTGTGTGTGTGTGTGTGTGTGTGCGTGCGTGCACGTGCACGGGGTGGGGATGTCCAGATGATCTTGAAGATCAATGCTTCTTATATCATTATTATAATTTCTTAAGTAAACTCTACCCCCGACATGGGGCTCAAACTCACGACCCTGAGATCAGGTGTCCCATGCTCTACCCACTGAGCCAGCCAGGTGCCCCAACACTTTTTATTTTAATAGTTATTTTCACATATGTTAGAACATATAAGTAGCATGTCAAACATTTTTATGGTAATATAAGTAAAACTGTAAAGAAAGAACCAAAAGAGGCATACTAAGAGATAATAGGGCAGATGTACAGAGAGCAAAACTTAACTGGTAGGGTTAGGTCTTAAGATGCCACGGCTACCCTAGGTACCCAGGTATCTCTTGCACATACAGTCATTATTTTTCAGGGTTTCTAAATGCTTTGAGTTCAGGCTTTTCTGTTTTCCTTTCGGTGTGCAGACAGATTGAGTTGGGACTTCCTGGGAAACGTGTGGAAGAACCTGTCCTCACTGGCTGCCCTTGGGGTCTAACAAGAGACTGGGCATGTGGCCTCTGGGCCTTTGGGCTGGAGTGTTTCTCTGGCAGAAGCGCCATGGGGTTTGGCCATTTCGTGACCCCTCTGGCGCTGCTGAGAGCAAGAGACACAACTCCGGCTAGAGGAAGGGAAGGGAAGGGCCAGCCTGAAGGAGGCCCACCGCTGCCTGTATTTCCAGGCCTTGGCTCAGCTCAGCACACACCTACTGATTGCACAAATGAGAAGGGAGAGTGCTAAATTGGCGCCCCAACTGCAGTTGGTGGTGGGTACTGGAGGTGATAGGGGCACCAACCCCGAGGAAATAGTTGCCAACGTGGGCTCCTTCTGCACCAAAATGTACCCCCAGGCACCCCTTGTCGTGAAGAAGAGTTGCCGCCGGCCACAGACTTGCCCTGGGGCGCACCACCCACCGCAGGCGGCGCGGACTCCGCGTCCGGGATTAAGGGTCCCCCCAGGAAACTCTGCTTTCACACTGCTGTGCAATCTGCCTCCGGCATGCACGCCCAACCACTCGCCCTGAGCCGGGCCCGAAGCGTCCGAGAGACCCCGTGTGGGGGCCACAACCAGGCAGAGTGTGTCACCAGCTACCCACCACGACCGTGTAACCGGCCTCCAGCCGCGGACGCCCAAGTCCGGTAGCCTGGGAAGCCGCAGCTGCCGGACAGACTTAGGCATAGCTTTGGGGCACCACACGTAGGGCGGGGAGCCCTGGGGAAGAGGTGCGCGCGCAACCCCGACCCCGACACTGGGCCCAGGGGCAGGACGCATCTCCGGGTCCTCTCTGCGCTTTGAACCTCCCCTCCCCTCTGTCCTATCGCAAATAACACCCCCACCGCAGAGCACCATGTGTCGCATTTGAACTCGGCTCTATGGCAAGCCAGGCCCCTGTAGGCGCATCTAGGAAGCGGGAGAGATTTCCCTGGGGGCTTGGGTGGGGATGGCGTGAGCTGACTTGATGTAAGACAACACCTACGGTGCCGGGATCATTCTAGGGGCTTCGCAGGTTCCTCTCCCCAAGAAAGCCTACATCCTTTGAATACCTTGCAGCAACTGGGCGGG